CTGGGGCAAAGGAGAGTACTTTTATTAGTTGAGAGACAAATTAGCCCTGTTTAAAGGAAAATTTAATATAAAAACATCTAAAGCAGTTTCATAAAATTAAATTCCTGGAAAATGCATTCAAAGCAGCCAGTGAAGAGTTGTATTAGTCCACACTGGCATTTTCTCCATTGAGTTTTTTATGACCCTCTGGCAGTGAGAGCCCCTTATTCCTGACTTGAATTATAATGCTGTATAAATGTAACAATAAAATTCAATAGCTGTTAGACCTAATGACTGAAAACCTAAACTATGTGTTAAAGGAGCTCATAATGGCACTGTTCCCTTAGCAACAGGTACAAAATAATTCCCATTTCCTGCAAGGAAGCCTAAAGTGATTTTGTAACTTAGAACTTGTAGGCAGAATAATGGCCTCCCAAAGATATCCACAACATTATCCCTAAAATCTATGAATATGTTACCTTATATGGTGGAAGGAATTTAGCAAATGTGGTTAAATCAACGTCCTTGAAATGGGGAGACTATCTTGCATTATCCAAGTGGGTCCAATATAATTACAAGGGTCCTTAAGTGGCGAAGTTTTCCTGGCTGTAGTCAGAGGAAGACGTGACTATGACAGAAGAGTCAGAGAGGTGCAACCTTGCTGGCACTGAGAGGGACCATGAGCCAAAGCATGCAGGTGGCTTCCAGATGCTGGAAAAGGCAAGGAAACAGATCCTCCCTGAGAGCCTTCAAAAGGAATGCAGCCCTGCCCAAACCTTGACTTTAGCCCAGTGAGAAACATGTCAGACTTCTAACCTACCAAGCTACAAAATAATAAATTCCTGCTATTTGAGCCACCAAGTCTGTGGTTATGGCAGCAATAGGAAACTAACACAGAACTGTACATCGGGAATAACTAAATACTGATATTTAGTAAACTGTTCAAACCCAGAACAAAATAAGTTTCTAAATGCTCAATAACTGGGAAAATTGACCAAATATTTATATTTAATTTGTGTTAAAAATAAGAAGGAATCCATAAATAATAAATTAGTTTAGGACAATAACCATCGCATAGTAAGTATCGCATTCTCTGATTTAAAATGAGGTTCACTATAGAAAACACAGAACAACTAAGAGAATGCATCCACAGATGATATTTCCTAGTCTCTCTGAGGTGATGTTCAGGGAAATAATTTATAATAGCACAAGCGGACAGTACCAAAGAACACTTCACTATCCTATCTTTCTGGGGCATAAAGCTTATAACGTTAACTCTCCAAAATAGTTTTAAATATAGTCATATAGTTTCAGAGTTGAAATGTGTCTGACAGTTTTAAAGATGAGAAACATGATTTCCCCCAAAGTTTAGCTGTGGCACAAATGCCTTATTTCATGGGCCAATTACCATGATAAGCCATAAATATGCATTCATTTGAATAACTAGTTTCAATTCCCAAGGATCCTTTCTATGTTTTAAAAATCATCAATAAAATACAGCTTCCTTATAAAATTAAATCCTAAAGTATTGAACTCAGATTTGCTATTATAAAAAGATTATGACAACTAGCTGAGAAAAATAATTTCTCCTGAAATCCTAAGCACTGAAATCCTAAGACAACTATAGATAATTAAAAGTAAAAGAAAATGGTAAACAGTAGGTAGAATACTTATCAACGTACAGCAAAATTAAAATAATAGTGTCAACTTCTAAAACCTGGCTTTATATAACTCAATGCATATTTGGGGAAAAAATGGTTTTACTTCAAAATTCATATCACACAGATTCGTTCTGGGTTCCAACTAAAGGGACAGGGTGCCAGGCTGGGTCCTGGAGCACGTAAAGGACAGCATGGGGTGCCCTGTGCCCCACGCCGGCCCACCCACCTGTGCCTCTTCCACACTCTGAGGCCCCGCCCGGGGACACTGCTGCCCTCACTTCCTCTCCCACCCAGGAGGTCTTTCCTCAGCCTCCTTTTCTTCTGCTCAACGTGCTCCCCCCACAGGTCACCCTGTGTTCATAAGTTCACCTGCCACCTAAACATTTGCTGACCTCCAAATCCAGACCCCTTTAGCTGACTTCTGACCCAGAGCCCTCGAGTGTTCCATAGGCCCTCAGTCTCTACATGAATAGAACCCATGTGGCCCATAAATCTGATCCCATGTTCTCTAAGTCAGTGAACGGCATCTACACTAGGTCCAATGACCCCTCCTTCTCCAGCCCCTGTGGTCAGTCATTTACCAAATCCTGTGGACTCCACCTCCTAAATCTCTTTGCAATCTAACTCCTCCTCTTCTTTGCCACAGACTCTGTAAAGGCTGAGAAAGCCCGTCTTGTCAACTCTTGGCAATACACAGACCTCTCAGTTCCTCTTCTACCCACACCCTTTCCCCCACCCCAATACAGAATTATTTCTCCACAAGAAAGGCTATCACTCTCCTGCCCGAAAGTTTCAAGTCCCTTCATTAACTGTGGGACAATGTCCAACCAGTTGAGTACAGCGAACAAGGAGCTTTTTCATAGTGCCCAAACCACCTTTCAGCCTCATGAACTGCTCTCTCTAGTCACTAATCCAACAAATACTTATGGAGGACCTACTATGTGCTAGGCTCTATGGGTACAACAGTGGACAAAACGGACATGATGCCTCCCTCACGAGCTTTAAATCCAGTAGGGAGAAATCAAATAATACAGAATATAATGACAAACTATACTAATATAGGTCCATAAAGGCTCAGGACAGAGGGCCCCGCCTAGTGTGGAAGGTCAGGGAAAGCCTCCCTAACAAATGGCACAAAAGAAAAAAATCTGAGGATCCGTAGGCAGTAGAAACACATATGCACTTATAATTAAGTAAAAAAGGACCTGGAAAGAGAGAAAGGAGGGACATTCCAGGCAGAAAGAATGGCAGGACCTCAAATGAGGCCAGCACTGTCAGAGCACCAGGGAAGAGTGGGCACACCACGGGGGGCGAGGCTGAGGAGACAGGAGGGGGCCAGATTCAAGAAATCTGCCCACACCGTAGCCTATAGGCAATGGGAAGCATCTGAAAGGTTGTAAGCAAAGAAGAGGTAGAGATGTGGACAGGATCAGGCTCCTGTTCTGAAAAGAGCCACCTAAGAGCAAGTCTGGGGAGAGCAGCTGGGAAGCCCAGGCAAGGATGGCAGCTTGGACTCAAGTGGTGCAGGAAAGACGAGGAGAAGTGGACAGACTCCAGAAATATTCCCGAAGCAGAAGCAATGGCCCTTGATGACAGACTGTCCAAGGGAAGTAAAAAAATAAGGCGTTCAGACATCCACAAGGCCCCACACGCGCGACTAATGGGGAGTGCGTTGGCTGGGCTCCGAAGCGCCTCTGCCTCTCTACTATCGGCGGGTGTAGGCTTTCCGAAGATGAGAGTGACTTTAAATCCAGCACACACGATCCCTTTATCATAAAATAACTAACACATTTCTTGGGATTTCTGAAAGTTTGTACATTTTTGTAATCCTGTATACCATTTAACTCTGTTCAACTTACTAAAGACTAAATCCATGCCTCTGTCACCTTCCCATGCTCTTCATTTTCACCAGAACAGTTAAAAACTACTGGCAATAATCTTCTATTTTCACTTCAAGTGCTTTTCTAAAAAGTTGTTTTCTATACACAGCACTGTCCCCTTCCCATGCTCTTCATTTTCACCAGAACAGTTAAAAACTATTGGCAATAATCTTCTATTTTCACTTCAAGTGCTTTTCTAAAAAGTTGTTTTCTATACACAGCTACATCCCAAAGAGGCTTTTCAGGAAAGGCTTGTGAGAAACGCACTGTGCTCCTTTGCATCACATAAAGAAAGAAAAACCAGATGAGTCTTTAAAGGTTTAACTTCATATCTGTCTATTCCCCAAAGTAAAATAAGTTCTTTCTTAAGTAGTATAAAAATACTAATGAAAATGCTTTGCATAATGTTAAATTCTCTACTATAAATAGTTTTTTTAAAAGTCCTCTAGGAATCTTCTAAGCAAAATGAGTGCCTATACAAAAAAGAGCCTAAAAGTCACTAAAAACTAATACATACATTCCCTATTTAAGTAGTTCAAGAAAATACCACTTATTGAGCATCTACCAATAGTCTAATGTGTTATAAACATTTTCTCATTTAATCTTAACAATTTTATGGGTTAAGAAATATTATCTATTACTCCCATTTCAAAAGCAGGAAACTTGAGGTTTAGAGAAGCTAAATATCTTGGAAGTAATAAAGCCAATTAAGTGGCAAACAAAATTCAAATGAGGTTTGTTTATTTCCAAGCATACACTCTACACTTTCTTTCAAATATCAAAAGTAGTCATCCTCTAGAAAGAATAACTAAATATTTGGACTTTTAAAAGATAACATTTACTGCGGGCTAAAGACAGAAGCCTGGCTAAATACTTAAGACCCGGGCTGTCTATCCATCTATATATATATCTGCCTGTCTGCCATGCATTGGCCTGAACATTAGGGAAGTTTCTATTTATTGCACTATAACATTTTAATTACAAATTAGATGCTATCTTAGAGGAAAGCTTTTTTTGTTTTTTTTAGCAGCATTCAATTACTCATGGAAATCAGGACAAAAGTAATATTCTAGTTGCGAACATTCATTTCCAAGTGAATTTCTAAGGAATTCATCAATTCTATAAAGTGAGCTGCCATACAAACGCAGCTTTGTGCCTAAGCACGGAAATACAGTAACTTCAGCAAAGCAGCAAGGACACATGGCCAATTCCTGTCTCCTGACTTTTGAGGGAAATCCACGGGAGCTCTGGAGGCCTGCCCCCTAGGCATCTGGACGCAAAACACGACGGCCACACTAGGCTTCCCCGTGGGAAAATCAAGACTAAGGCTTTATTTGGACAGTGAAGCAGGAAGGTGAGCACGAGGGTCAGGGAGCAGAAAAGGGTTCTCGGCCGATCCAGACCTGAAGCAGACAGTGAAGGGAGGACTAAGGGGACCATGCACAGCAGCTGCCCCGGCACCCGCTGCCCACGACCCCACCCTGGGAGGAGGAGCTGACCGGCCGGGACGTGCCCACACGCGGGCTCGTCGCCAGGCAGCCTCTGTGCCTTCGGCCAGCTCAGCTCTCCTGGGCTGCTTCTGCTTTCCCTCTTCAGGACCATATCGTGCTCCCTCCTCCTCTCGGTCTTCTCCTTTCCCTCGTCTTTCCTTCCTGAACGATCCGGCTCTGAAGCCATTATGCGGGGCAGAAATGGCGTGGGAAGGGGAGATGGAGGAGAGCAGAGCCACCCCGGGCCAAAGCCTTCCGGGGGCACCTGCGTAGGTGGCTGTCCAGCCTGGGGAATGGGGAATCGGAGCGTGAGAGGGGGAAGGAAAACGCCCACAGGAGGGGAGTCCAGCACAGGGTCCCTCAGTCAGCAGGGTGAGGGCAGTGTCACCACAGAGGGGCGAGAGGGCAGCGCTGACGGCATCAGCCTCGGACAGTGACCCAGAGGGAGGAGCTGGGGCCCAAACTGGGTAAGGAGGCTGGTGCAGCACGTCACACCCAATTGGATGGGGAAGGCACCCACAGAGGGTGGCCCGATGCAGGTGTCAGAGCGAAGGAGCTTGAGGGTTTCAATATAATGAGGTAGATGTAAAAATGCTGCTATTGTTTCCCAAGATGGCCAACTAGAGAGGCCTGGCGCTAGTCGCCTTCCCATAAGAGACCAAAACAGACAAACATACTTTGACTGGACGACTGAGGAAACACACTGCAGAGCAGCAGGAGAGTGACCGGATCCTCCTGCAGCGCGGAAGAAGGCAAGGGCACCATGGAGAGCAAAGCAAGGCGCCCAGCCCTGGCCCACCACGGGAGATGGGAAAGACCCCAGCTGTTCCCCCCGCCACCACAAACGCCAGCGATCCCCGCCTCGAGAGTCTCCCAGTCTTCCCAGGACCCAGGCCGTGCAGTCTTACAGTGACACAAAGCCCTCCTGCCTGAGCGGCTGAGGCACAGCACCACCCTGGAGCTGAAACCCCGGTGGGCGGCCGTCCTGTCCCGGACCCAGCCAGTCCTAACCCTAACCCTAACCCTTTATCTGGAGGTCCTGCCTGCATGCCACCGTGCTCACGGGTGCCCAGAGCCTAGGACAGCCAGAAGGACTGAGACACCAGAGACTGAACCCACACAACACCCCCTCCCTCAGACGAGCAGGCAGTCTTGCTGAGCAGAAAAGTCGCCACAGTACGGCGGTTCTCCACATAGGCGGCCTGCCCCACACGGCTGGCGGGGGCGCACCCACAAGTGCCCTCGGAGCCCAGCAGTAGCCGCACCTTCCCCCACAACCCTCCACACATTTGCACAGGCATCAGCAGGATCACAACCCCAGCTGCCTGCAGCCAAGCCCACATAGAAGGACCGAGATCCTGGCCTCTGAGCCCACATAACCCCCCGCCCCCACACCTGTGGTCAGACCAACCAGCCGGGAAGCCACCAGTAGACAGTTATTCCCACAGTTGCATGTACCAGACCTGCACAACTCTTGGTCCTGCCGAGTGCACTGTTGCTGGCACCAACATCCAGGCCAGCAGTGGCCTTCTTCCCCCAACAGCCCTCCACAGCTCTAGGGAGCTTCTGGGTACTGCAGCACCTGTGCAGGCTTGCTCCAGAATCAACAGCTGATACAGCAGCCCTCTACAGAGCTGCCAGGACCTGCCGCAACAGTATACACATGCCCACTGACCAAGAGAAGACCAGGCAGAGGCTCTGACTCCCCAAGGCAGGCCTCTGCAGAACTGCTGACTTCAGCCACACCCTTGCAGGCTTGCACCCGACTCAACAGCTGATCAGGTGTCCATCTGTACAGCTGCCAGGACTTGCAAAAGCTGTGCACACCTACTCCCATACCAACAGCTGATTGGGAAGCAGCTTTTTCTCACCACAGCACCTCTAGAAAGCTGCTGGGTCCTGTAGCACCCACACAGGCTTGCTCCAAGCTCAATAGTTGAGTATGTGGCACTCTACAGCCCTATCAGGAAATGCTACAACAGTATATACCTATCCAATGACTGACATCAGATCACCCACCCCAACAAGAAACTCACCCCAACAAGAAACTGCCAATGCCCCCACCATCTAGGCCACAAAGGCACCCACAGACAACTCTAAGATTGAATCCACTTGAAGTTGCAAGAAGCCTGTGCTACCGCAATCACCCAGATCCAAACTTAAAATGTCCAACCCAACTGTCAATATAGAACACTTCTATATTGCCCTGCACGGCTCACAGGGGCCGAACCCACAAATGCTCTCTCCCTTCAAAAGCCACTACTAGAATTGAAAGAAGTGATTACACCACCAGATGCCCAGACATCAACACAGAGATATGAGAAGCATGAAAAAAACAAGGAAACAGGATTCCCACAAAAGAAGACTATAATTCTCCAATACCAGACCCAAAACAACAGGAAATTGATGAATTGCCTGAAGAGAAATCCCAAATGGCAATACTAAGGAAACTCAAAATGATGGATGAAAAAACAGATAGAAATCACAATGAGTAAAGAAGAAATTCGAGGTCATGACTGAGAAATACAACAAAGAGATAGGAACAATAAAAAAAAATCATGCAGAAAACTCTGGAACTGAAGAACTCATTCAATGAAATAAAAAATACAACTGACAGCATAAGCAGCAGGCTAGAATAAGCAAAATAAAGAATCTCTGAACTAGAAGACAAGTTTTCTGAATTAATACAGTTGGACCAAAAAGTAGAAAAAAGAATTTTTAAAAATGGTGAAAACCTAGGGCCGGCCCGGTGGCGCACTAGAGAGTGCACCGCTTAGGAGCACGGTGGCGCTCCCGCCGAGGGTTCGGATCCCATGTGGAGACCGGTTCCCGCTCACTGGCTGAGCGCGGTGCGGGCGCAACACTGAGGGTTGCGATCCCGTTACCGGTCAGTAAAAAAAAAAATGGTGAAAACCTATAAAATCTTTGTATCTCAGGTGTACAAACATTAGTACTATGGGTGTATTGGAAGGGCAAGAGAAAGGAAAAGGCATTGAAATAATAGCTGAAAGCTTCTCAAATATTGGGAGAGACACTGTCTTATAGATCCAAGAAGCTCAAAGATCCCCAAACAGATTCACCCCAAAAAGGACCTTCCCGAGACATTATTTTCAAATTATCAAAAGTCAGAGACAAAGAAATAATCCTAAAAATAGCAAGAGCAAAGTGTCAAATCACCTATAAGGGAATCCCCATCAGACTAACAGCAGAATTCTCAACAGAAACCCTACAGGCCAGGAGAGAGTGGGATAATATATTCAAAGTGTTAAAAGAAAAAAACAGCCAATAAGAATACTATCAACAGCAAAGCTTCCCTTCAGAAATGAAGGAGAAATAGTATCTACCCCAGACAAACAAAAACTAGAATTCACCACCACAAGACCAGCTCTTCAACAAATCTTCCAGAGACTCCTACATCTGGAATCAAAAGAGAGATATATGTCACCACAAATACACAAGAAAGAATAAAAACCACTGAGAGACAGATAGACAAATGAGAAGGATAAAGAAAATGTATTTTATCACTACAAAAAAAAAAAAAAAACACCCAACAGCAAAGATAAACAATAAAGGGGAAAGAAAAAAACAAAAGAAATATAAAACAATCATAAAGAAGTTAACAAAATGGTAGAAATAAAGCAATACCTGAATGTAAATGGATTAAATTCCCCACTTAAAAGACATATACTGCTTGAATAGATTAAAAAACCAGACTCAACCATATTCTGCCTGCAAGAAACACTTCACCAAGAAAGACACACATAGACTAATAGTGAAGGGATGGAAAAAGACATTCCATACACTGAAAATCAAAAAAGACCAGGAGTTGCCATACTTTGACATCAGATAAAATAGACTTCAAACTAAGAACTGTAAAAAGAGACAAGAAGGATACTATATAATGATAAAAGGATCAATGTAGCAAGAAGATATATCATAAATATATATACACTCAACATTGCAGCACCCAGATATATAAAGAAATTGTTACTGGATCTAAGTGGAGAGATAGACCCCAACACAGGAGTCGCTGGGGACTTTAGCATGCCATTCTAAGCACTGGACAGATCATCTAGACAAAGAATTAGCTGAGAAATATTGGACCTAAACAGCACTTTAGCCAAATGGACTTGGCAGACATATAACAGAACACTTCATCCAACAACAACAGAATATACATTCTTCTCATCAGCACACAGAAAATTTTCCAGCATAGATCATGTATAAGGCTACAAATGGAGTCTGAACAAATTTAAAAGACTGAAATCATATCAAGCATATTTACAGACCACAATGGAATAAAATTAGAAATTAACAACAAACAAAACTTTGGAAACTATACAAATTCATGGAAATTAAACAACATGCTCCTGATTGACCAAGGAGTCAGAAATAAAGCAGCAAATAAAAACATTCCTTGAAACAAATAAAAATGCAAGCAAAACTTACCAATACCTATGGGACACTGCAAAACAGTACTAAGAGGGAAGTTTACTGCAATAAGAGCTTACATCAAAGAACACAGACACTTCAAATAAGCAACCTGATATTAAATCTCAAAGAACTAGAAAAACAAGAAAAATCTAATCCAAAAAGTAGTAGACAGAAAGAAATAATTAAGATCAGAGCAGAACTAAATGAAATAGAGAGCAAAAGACTGATACAAATAATCAACAAAACAAAAAGATGGTTTTTTGAGAAGATAGACAAAATAGACAAACCATTAGCTAAACTCACTAAAAAAAGGAGAAGATCCAAATAAAAATCAGAAATGAAAAAGGAGAAATTACCACCAATACCACAGAAATACAAAGAATCACTAGAGACTATTATGAACAAATATATGCCAACAAACTTGAAAATCTCCAGGAAATGGATAAATTTCTGGGCATATACAAACTATCAGGACTGAACCAAGAAGAAATGGAAAACCTGAACAGACCACTAACAAGCAACAAGACTAAAGCAGTAATCAGCAGTTTCCCAGCAAAGGGAGCCCAGGACTAGAGACTTCACTGCTGAATTCTACCAAACCTTTAAAGAAGAATTAACACAAATCCTTTCCAAAGTATTCTGAAAAACTAAAACAGGCCATTCTCCTAAACTCATTCTACAAGGCCAGCATCACCCTGATACCAAACCCAAAGACACAACAAAAAAAAGAAAACTATAGGCCTATACCTTTGATGAACATAGATGTAAAAATCATCAACAAGATAATTAGCAGACAGAATACAACAGCACATCAAAAAAATTATACACCATGATTAGGAGGGATTCAACCCAGGGATGCAAGGATGGCCCAACATATGCAAATCAATAAATGTAATACACCAAATCAACAAAAGCAAGGAGAAAATCCATATGATTATATCAATAGATGCAGAAAAAGCATTTGACAAAATTCAGCATCCCTTCATGATAAAGACCCCCACCAAATCAGGTATAGAAGGAAAGTATCTCAATGCAATAAAAGCTATATATGACAAACTCACTGCCAACATCATCCTGAATGGGGAAAAGTGGAAAACTGTTTCTTTTTTTTTTTTTTTTTTTTTTTTTTTTTTTTTTTTTTTTTGTCTTTTTTCCGTGTCCGGAAACGGATCGCAAACCTCAGTGTTGCCCCCGTACCGGACCAGGGACCGGCAACGGGATTGCAAACCTCGGTATTGCTCCCGCGCCTCGCTCAGCCAGTGAGCGGGAGCCGGTCTGTATGTGGGATCCGAACCCTCGGGTGGCGCGCGCCGCCGCGCTTCCCAAGCGGC